GTAACATCTTCACCTCCATTTGTTAAAACTGAGGAACGAGTTGAGTTTTAATTCTTCGCAGCGGCGGAGCCGCGTCCGCTTTGGTTGTGCAGCCGCAGCGCATGGATCTAATTAACTTCTGAACCTTTATTTCCTCAAAATAAACTGGCTCCTCTTTTTACTATAAATGGATTAAAACAACGTTGCATTCTCTTTTTCTTTGTTCTGTGCTGGAGACTGGAGTTAAAGGCGCCGTTTCAACTAAAGGTTTGCGACGATCTTCCTGACCAAGGTGTCCTGTCCATCACTCTTCAACGCGCCGTCAGCTGCCGGTTAGAAAGACGCATTTAGTTCAGAGTCCATGAGATGATATGCAGAAAGGATTTTCGGTTGATTTTAGTTGCCTCTGAGATTAAATCTTTGCGTAAAGTCTATAATGTCTGCACATTATAGACAAGGGTGTGAGTTATAACCAGTCATATGACCAACGGGCTTCAAATTTTCCCGTCATTTAAAAAAAATAACCGGTTAAATACAGAAAATATTCCGTTAACGCGACCGTGGGACCCAAGTGGTAGATTGTAATAAAAACTGCTGGAACTGTGAGCAGGGCTTTAAAAAACGAGCCGATAAAAGTTAACAATAATTTATTAAAAATGAATCATTTAAAAAGGGTGCAGGGCAAGAATGTGCGGCAGAGTCAATGCATAAGTCTGTTTAAGGAAGAATGGAGTCTTAGCTGGCCCAAGGGGAGGCGGTCCTCTCCGGCACTCAGATCAGCCAGCCGACTGATCCCAGCAGCAGGATCCTCCGCGGCCACGGGCGAATCTTGGCGGCGATCCAGCCACTCGTACTCCAACACCCAGTCGGCCGTTCCTCGATGGCGACCAGTTGGATGAATCTCTGCGGCAACCAGTCCTCAAGTCCCGCCGCTCTGCACCTGTGATCTGTCCAGTTCCTTCAACTGCACAGCTCCCTCTTTATTACTGGCTTCCCGGTCTGCACAATGGAGAACACCTGTGCTGCTGCAGTGGGCGTCTCCAGGTATGAGTGGTAACGTCACCTCAAAAGCAAAACAAAATCAGAAAAACATGCAACACAACAAACCCAAAAAAATAACCCAGATCTAATAAAAAAAAGTAAATTACTTCAAAATATAACAAACAATTTAAACAGGAATGTAAAAAACATGAAATCAACTCAAAAAAGGAAAACGAGGCTACATTACCACACGATCTCTGGTCAGAACCACGGTTAGAACCTTGCAGCAGTGTTTCTTCTGCAAACAGGTCTGCAACCCTAAGAGGGAAATCCAACCCTCACCCTGCTAATATGGAAAAGGTGTCTGCACTGGTTGATCAGCACTATCAGGAAGGTCCAGATTAACCCGAGGGTTCATGTTCTCCTGCAGGCCTTGAAGGTCATCGAGCAGCTGCAGGACAGCAAAGATCTGAAGGAGAAGACCGATGACATGCAGCACAAGGTGGGTCACAACAAGATTCAGTAAGAACCTGGGTCAGAACCAGGGTACTTTGGTTTGCTTTGACATGAAATTCTTGAAGAAGCAAGATATATTCTGCCAAACATGGATACATTTACTGGTTTTGACCAGCTTAAACCAGTAAAACCAGTTGCTGCAGTTGTTTTCATTCCTGTTTAAATGAATAAAAATCCAGAATATTCTGATTATTCAGTCCTCCTCCTTCTGTGTTTAGGGTGCAGCGGAGCAGATGGAGATACAGGCAGGCCTGGAGAAGTGCTGCCAACGTCTGGACGTCCTGGACAAGGCAGTGGTGAGTCTGTAGGGCTGGACTCTCACTTGTGGGGGTGCTCTAGACAAAACTTCTGCAGATGGTCTCTGTTTCTGATTTCTACTGGAACCTGGAGGGAACGGGCTCTTTGCACGTACGGCGTTGACGTCACATCTGCATGAGCCAAAGCGGCTCACTTGTTTCCGCTTTGAGTTACCATGACAGCTAGAAAAGACGAAGTCATATTTCAGACGCCAAAAAGCAATACTATGAACGTTGTTGTCTTCCATATATAATGGGCTTTTAAGCTTTCATTAATTTCCAAACAATCCTGAATTAAGAAGATGGTGGCTTGTAAATATCCGTCGCTACCAGTTAAAGCTAACGCTGCACAGCAAAGTTTGCAGCCTTCACTTCACTCCGGATCAGCCTAAAACTACCGGAGGGAGACGGATGGTGAATAAAGGAGCCTCCTGAGTTATTTCCATGGAGTCACTTCTGTATTCAGCCTGAAAGAGCGAATGAATTTATGAGTTGATGGGAACGAGAGAGCAGACCAGAGCCAGACCGCCGAGCAACTGATCCGCCTGAACACACCGCAGTAAACACCGTCCTACCTGAGCTCTGAACAAGAAACATGCAAAGGTAATAAAACGAAATAACACGGAGACATGAAGCAACATATTTTTCTAAAAGCAGCAACTTTGAACCTGAACAGCTGAACCAGATCTCTGACACCAGAGCTGCGCTACTGTTAAGCTATGAGGCTTGTTGAGCTCCGTCAGGCTTCGGAAGTAAAAAGTCCAAACCGTAACCTCCCTGTTAGTCTGTGACACTAACAACAATAAACACACAGTATACTGGAAAATAAGGCACAAACATTGTCCGTTAGAATGCTTAGATTCTTAAATAGCACATTTTTACAAGAACAATGTCAGAGAATATTGCCTACTAGCATAAGCCAAAGTTAAAGTAAAACTCACCTTCGTGTCCGTGAATATAACGAGGCGAACATCTTAACCTTTCTCCAGCTGACTTGTTGGGGCTTCGGATCGATGTTCATCATCGGCCAAGCCCTGCAGCACCTGGTGTAAAATGACATTTCCAATAGATCGGAAACAACGAGCCGCTTTTCCCCGAACGGGGAAGCTGACATGCAAACAGCCCTTTGTTGCTGAGCTGAGCAGAACCGTAACCATGAACTGGACCTGAAAGAGGTCAGAACTTCTGTCATTCTGTGTTATGGTTCCAACAGGAATCCATGCAGGAACTCTTCCAGATGTATCCGGACCCAGAGGAGCTCAACCAGTGTGTGACCTGGGTCCAGTTGGTTCAGAAGGACATGGATATAGAGAAGGTAAAGACAAGAACCGTAGAAAGGAACCAGTTCAATGAACTGTTCGTCTCAAAGAGATTCACTTTCAGAATATCAGAAAACAACCATTTCTGGCAGTTCTGACAACAGATCTGAGAATTAGTCAGGAAGTACTGTACACTTCTGGGTTCCATCGGTGGAAGTTACCCTCAGATCTGTTTCTGCAGGACCTGGTGACTTCAGAGGTTCTGGACCAGCCCTGGTTGGAAGAACAGGCTGGACCTGACCCCTCAGCGCCATCCTCTGGTGTCCCAGTGCCATCAACTGGTGTACTGGTGCAATACTCCAGTGCCAATGAGCCGTCCTCCACTGCCCCTGCGCTGTCCTCTGGTGCCTCTGTGCCGGCCTCTGGTGTTCCAGTTCCATCCCCAGGTGCCTCTGCACCATCCTCCCATCCCTCAGCACCGTCTTCCGGTGCCTCTGCAGCATCTTCTGGTACCACTGTGTTGTCACCCAGTGCCTCTGCACTGCCTTCTGGTTCCTCTTCACCGTCCTCTGGTGTCTCAGTGTCGTTGTCTGGTGGTCCGCTCCACACAGATAGCTCCCCCCCGTCTGCTGCTCCATCTTTTCCAAGCATATCTGCAGAGGATCAGTCCTTGGAAGCAGCAGCAGACTCCACTCAAGCCTCCTCTGATGGGTCCGAAGGCGGGACGATCGCCGGGGACCAGGGCAGGGCCACAGAACCACAACCTGTGACCTCATCTGTCCTTCCAGGGTCCACCCCAGAGACTGTACCACAGCCTGAACCACAACCTGGAGCAAAACCTGAACCACAACCTGGACCACATCCTGGAACACAACCTGGACCACAACCTGCAGCACATCCTGGACCACAACCTGGACCACATCCTGGAACACAACCTGGACCACAACCTGCAGCACATCCTGGACCACATCCTGGACCACAAGCTGGACCACATCCTGGAGAACACCCTGCAGCACAGCCTGGACCACAACCTACAAGGATTCGTGGGGATCTGAAGAGACTCTCAGACTCTCCTGAGAGTCGGACCCACAGCATGCAGATGGAGGAGTTTTTGAAGAACATCAGGAAGTTACAAGAGAGGGTCACCCAGCTAGAGGCCCATACAAGGATTCTGGAGGAGCAGAAGGTGGACTGGACCGGGTTGGCCCAGTTTATCAGCTCCAGAGGTAATGTCAGAAGTTAGCCGAACATCTCCAGATTGTACCTGGTCAGGTATTTCACTAGGTGCCCTGCCCAGATAGACCAGGTTGTCCACAGGTGACCAGGTGTTTTCTCCTCAGGTTCTCTTGAAGTCCCTGGCAGCATGATGGATCAGGTGCAGCAGCACCAAGCTCTGATGGAGAACCTGAAGACCGAACACGAGAAGGTGAGAACCTGCTGCTCCACTCAGCCTCCCATCACTCTGTTCCGGTTCTGGTTCTGATGGGCTGACGTGTCTTCTGAAGCTGGAGCATCTGGAGGACATGATGGGCAACCTCATGACCCAGGAGATGGGCAGCAGCATAGCAGATCATCTTGATTCAGCGATTAAAGATCTCACTCAGCAGGTGTCTGACCTCAGGTAAAGATAGAGAGGCAGGGACAGAACCCGAAACCCACCTGGTGGGACCAGGTGGTGGTCAGGTGGGCTGCTCTCCTGTGCAGGTCTTCCCTGGTTCAGGTGGAGCAGGAGGTGGAGCTCCTGAAGGAGAAGCAGGCTCAGAGTGAAGAGAGAGCTGCAGACCATCTACAGGACCAGGTCAGAGGAGAACCTCCTTCCTACCTTCCTGCACCCTTCTTCCAGTCTAACCTCTGACCTCTGCCCTCTGGCCTCAGCTGAACGACCTGCGGGGGACGTTGGAGGACACCATTGTGTCTCTGACGTCCCAGCTGTCCAGCAGCCTCCAGCAGGAGGTGGAGCAGGAGACAGAGAAGATGGAGAAGCCGGAGGAGACGGAGGAGGAGGAAGAGGAAGAGGAGGAGGCATTCAGCGACTCGGTGGAGGTGGGCCGGAAGCTCAGCCTGCTGTTCCAGAACTATGAGCAGCTGGAAGACACGGTCAACCTGCTGGTCCAGCAGCAGCAGCAGGGCGCAGCTAGGGACGACCTGGACGAGGACCGAGACATGGGCAGGGTCAGTCAGGGACAGGGACAGTGGCGTGTCTGCCACAGGGACGCGGCCGGACCTTGATGGATGCTCTGTGTCTGTGTTTGGGTCAGAGCCTGGACCTGGTGTACGACGTCCAGAGGGCCATCCAGGAACTGCAGGCCGAGTGCGAGCGCCTGCAGGAGGCAACGAGGAGTCTGCATGAGGACAACCAGCAGAAGCAGGGACACATCGAGGTAGGCAGGCCAACACCTGGGTACTGACAAGCTGGACCACAGACATTGGGCTGACGGTGGACTGATGCTTTACTGACGGTGGACCAACTTTGCACACCTGGAGACGTCGTCCACCTGGAAACACTCAGTGATGGCAGCTGCTTCCACAGGAGCTCTACAAGACGGCAGAGGAGCTGCAGGTGAAGAAGGCCGACAAGCTGATGGTGGAGAGCGAGATTGTGAGTTCTGCTTCTGGTTCCGGTGACCTTGAATCTCTAGTTCCAGTGGAGATGCTGTTAGCTGCATCAGAGGCTGATGACAGGTTTACTGTCCCCCGTCCCCCTGCCTGTCCCCTCAGAAAGCGGACAAGCTGGCCCTGGACAGCAAGGTGAGCCGTCTTCAGTTCGACGCAGCGACGGAGCAGCTGACCTCCATGTTCCATGAGCTGCTCAACAAGATGACGGGTCAGGAGCACGACTGGCACCAGCTGGTGGACAAGCTGTCCACCGACATGGAGTGCAAGGTACCAGTCCTCACGAGAAACCTGGCCCGGTTCTGGTCCGGTGCAGAGGTTCTGATCCGTTTGTGTGTAGCTGAACCGGATGGAGTTGGACTCAGTGAAGCTGCAGCTGGAGGAGCGCTGGCGCAGCATCCTGAAGAAGCTGCAGGCGCAGAGCGCGCCTCTGGAGGATGACGCCGCCGGCATCAGGAAGTGAGTCCGGCTGGTTCCGGTTCAGGTCCGAAGTTCCGTTCATTATGGAACAGTATGATTTGAACTGTCTGTCTGTCCCCCAGGAAGCTGCTGGAGCGGTTCCACTGCCTGTCCTGTGACCGCGTCATCATGAAGCAGACCCCCGGCCCGTGAGTCGACCCAGAAAGCCCGGATCTGTTGTTGTGGCGTCCGTCCCTTTAATGTGACATCACAGATCTGTCTCCTTCCCCAGCATCGTGCTGACCCTGCCGACTTTTCCTCCTTTCCCCCCGCCAAAGTCCGCCCGGCCGTGGACCATGGAGCAGATCCGCCAGCACTACCACAGGTGGGTCCGGGACCAGAACCAGAACCACAGCCAGTCCGTCCCACATTCTGTCCCAGCAATAGTTTTCTATCAGGGTTGATCTGAAAAGTGCGGCCAGCATGTCGGTCTGGCCGACTCCACCACACTTTTCAAATTTCTCTTAGTGAATTGTTTCGTCAGGTCTGACCCGGTTTGGGTCAATCTCAGAACATCAGAGAAAATGTGAGGTTAGTTTGTAGAGGGGAACAAAATGAACAGCAGGTTCTGCCACATTGGACCTTCAGAACCAGCTGTGTGTTGCGATTCCAGCCTGACGCCCGGACCCAGCCAGCGCCGGGTCCAGCTGCAGAAGAACCACGCCGACATGCTGCAGCAGCTAGACAGCATCGAGCGCCAGCGCCGCCTCCGCCAGCGGTGAGTCAGGCCGCTGGTTCTGACCCGGTTCATTCCTGGATCCACAGCAGAACCTGCGGTCGGAACCAGCTCTAACCTCTTCCCGTTCTCTGTGTAGCCCCAACCGGGTCACTGAGGCGCCAGCCCGGCAAGCCCGGCCAGTCGGAGGGCCACACGCCAGCACGTCTGCGGGTCAGCGCCGCAGCGGCCCGCAGCACCACCGACTGACGACCCGGGCCGAGGACGAGATCCTGATGCAGGTGCGGTGGTAAATTTATTTTCCGGTTCGTCCATTAAGCTACACTAAGCGTATTCAGTCTATCCGCTCAGCTTTATTCATGCACCCGCCGCGCTCTTCACTGCCACCAGGCAGCAGCTCTGGCAGGAGGAAGGCTGCCATACCCCAGGCATCGCGCCGGTCATTTAAAGCAGTGGTTTTCAACCGCTGTGCCACGGCACACTAGTGTACCATGAGTGATCTTCAGGTGTGTGGAAATTATCCAATTTCACCTACCGTATTTTCCGATCTATAAGCTGCTACTTTTTTCCTACACCTTTTCT